TCCTGTCACCCCTGCTCCCCTCTTTCCCCTCACTTCCTTCTCTCTCTCCCTCCCCTCTCTCCCTACCTTCTTCTTCACCCTTTCCTTTTTTATTGCCTCTGAAAAGCCAGGCTAGAATAACCAGCAAGTCCAAACACACATTGACAACCTCCTAGCACACACACAAACAACACAAACACACAGATGCAGCCTGAGACATACTAGAACGAAAACACACTTATACATACACACACACCTTGTGCGGTTGGCACAGTCCCCCCGGCTTGCAGAGGTAAATGGAGTGGAACAGGTTAGCATTGCTGCCATATAGTGTCCCACCTGTACAAACAGAGTGCTTGATCATTGCTAAACACACACACACAGACACACAAAAATAGTCCTCCATCTGGACTGAGGCACTGGTGGGTTTTAATAGCTATCGATCATTCTCCCTTGTGACACACTCACACACTCGCCTCCCTGTTACAGGCTGAACAGAGCCAGCTGAGGACTCATATAGGTCTTTGAGTGTGTATACACACACACACACAACCTACAGTGTCAAAAAGGCCATTTACTATGCCAGCCTGTATGTGTGTGTTAGTGCTTCTGTGTGCCTCTGTGTGTGTGTGAGAGAGTCCTGCTGTGGCTCACTCTGCCTGTCTTTTTAGATGAGGTTATTTAATTTACATAATGAGGCCCAGACCCACTCTCATAGATTAAATTACGCTGAGACAACAAATAAAAACGCATGCCGACAAGCCTCACAAACATACAAATCCCAGTCTATGTAACCCTTTAAGTAAAGTTGTTCTCTTTTCTTAGCAACGATGAAAAAAAACATCTGTAGCCTAAAAAGGAAAAGTCAAGTCAAAGAACCTGCAGTGTGCCCACCCTTACCCAATGATGTCATTGTACACTTGCCCGAGTGAGTTACGGTGCACTGAAAGGGTCAAAATGAGGGAGAGCCGATCGATATTCCATATGATTCTGACCAATAAATCTAAGATGTGATTAGTCTAGGTAGTTAGCGACGATTAATTGTCAAAGCTAATAAAGTCTCCTGTGGTTGAGGGTGCCAGAGAGGCTGCTGGAAATCATGGTTCATTTTATGAGCAAATTAATTAAGACGGACATCAAACACTCATTCTACACTTGGTAAAGGACGGAACAATGAGACATCACTCAAGGAGATTCAGTGTGTGTGTGTGTGTGTGTGTGTGTGTGTGTGTGTGTGTGTGTGTGTGTGTGTGTGTATGTGTGTGTGTGTGTGTGTGTTTGTGTGTGTGTAGTAAACGCAATGATTCCTCCTTTACACCAAGTTGTAAATCCAGAAGAGAAGAGGGACATTTGTCATTTAGCTGCGTCTTTCCTTTTTCATTAAAAAATGGCTGCCACTGTGTCTTATTACTGTGTGAGGATGGGCGTGTGTGTGTGTGTGTGTGTACTGTAATTTAGGTGAAGATCAATCAGGGAGAATGAAAGATGTGTTGCAGCATAAGGAAGAAGAAAAGAACAAAAGAAAAGGAGGACGGGGAGTGGAGTAACATGCAGTTTTGACTGACAAAAACCAGAAATTGCTATTGAACGGTGCATCGATATCATTGTTTTTGTCCAGGAGACTGAATCCAACCACAGGCTACTTATTCTCTTCTTACAGCTCACTGTGGAGGAAGATAATTCAGTCCACATTCCCATTCTTTCTTCATCATGTTGACCAGTGTTTCTAAACCTTTTTTGTCAGATTTACTCCCACAGTTATGTCAGATGAACTCATACTGGCCTCTTCATCCACACCACCCATCATGTTTCGAATGTTCCAATTTTAAAGTGGATATCATTTAACTCTTGATTATATGAAAGTAGATTTAGGATATAAAGTATTTTTCATGCAAATGAACTGCTTAGATTGTTTTGGTTATGTTTGCATTAACTACTACAACTTATTTATTCAATTCAAGTCAGTTCAATTCATTAAATGCTCACATGCTCACTACTAGGTTTTACAGCCTTTTTTTTTTTTTAAGTGGTATTCAGGTGTTATAATTGACTCAGTATGTGAATATATATGCATTTTTAATCAAATCATTAATAGTATTTGATCAGATTAGTTGAGCTACTCCATAGTCTTTCCACATATGTCCTGGGATACAAATACCCCTGGTTGGGAAACACTGATGTAGACAATTCACGCTTTCTAAATGCAGTGACATTAAAGGCAGACCCAGACGTGTACACACATACACATCCGAGCCTGCTAACTTGCTTACAGGCCAGTCCGACACAGAAGTTACACAGTTGGGTGCTTTTTTCCCTTCACATAACAGCTGAAACAACAATTGTTCTCACAGGGTAAGACCACTGTGAGTGCACTGTCTCAATAGCTTCAACAGTCTGTCTCCCTGTCTCTCACTCATCTGCAAACCTCAGGGGATGTTCAGTTTGACGTAAAGACCAAAGGTTGCAGTGTCTTTTCTCTTGTGCTTGTGCCTCGTTCTGTGTAATGCTTTGGCCAGTGCACTGGTTTAACTTTAAATGATACCAACACAAACACAGAGCACACTCAGAGATTTTACTGAAACCAACCACTGAAACAATACAACTGGGCCACAGCCTGTTTCCATCACAGGGGAAATCCTGCTGCCTGGACGGCCACTGATAGGAGTAAGATGAGAGGGACTAGACAGAGAGAGGAGGAGGGGGAGAAGATAAGAAAAAGTGTGTGTGTGTGTGTGTGTGTGTGTGTGTGTGTGTGTGTGTGTGTGTGTGTGTGTGTGTGTATAAGTGGAAGACATTTCAGAGGGTAAAACACTGCAGGGGTACGGTCAGGATGGAGGGAGTGAAAGAGGTGAGTTAGGAGAGAGGGGGAGGAAAGTTCCACAAGAAGCAGGGAATAATGGGAGAAAAGGCTGAAGACTAGACAACTCAGAGTGCCCAGTTGTACCACCCTAGGTCAGGATGTCAGGATGCAGATGAGCAGGAACACAGCACTTGAAAGAGTACTGTGAGAGTCAATTCATTATCACAGTAAGATAAAATGAAAATGAAACGGATGCAGAGAAAGGAAAGTGAAAAAGAGATTAATCACCACTGATTGGAAAGTGTAAAATACAAAAAAAAGAAAATATGTATATATATAAAGCCAGTTAGCAAGACCAATGTGGAGTACATTTACACATGCGGCAGCTTTAGTTAGATAGATAGATAGATAGATAGATAGATAGATAGATAGATAGATAGATAGATAGATAGATAGATAGATAGATAGATAGATAGATAGATAGATAGATAGATAGATAGATAGATAGGTAGATAGATAGATAGATAGTAGTTGGTAGATATTGTTGTCGCTGGATTAATTGTTCCTATGACAATCTCACTTTTTGCTGTCTGTTAACTTAAATATATTGACTGGAAACATTTTCTCATATTTCTGGAGATGCTAGTAGTTTGTCCCACCACTGGTCCAGAGTAAGATATCTTAGCAGCTACTGGGTGGCTGGTTCCCAGATTTTCCTCTGAGGTTTTCCTCTGTGGTTTTAAGTGAAAAGTCTCAATAACTATTGGATGGATTGCTCTGAAATTTGGTACACACATTCACACACAGTGGTACAGACGCAGCTTCTGTTCATTCATTTCAGAAGTGCAGCATTTAGGCCGTATTATTATTGTTGATTCTGGATTTTCCACAGATGGAAAGCAGCACAATTTTTAAAGTTATCCTGCTACCTATTCATCTATCTTGCGGTAGTCTGTTCTTTCCACAATACTGAAAGCTCACTTCCCAATGTCCTGAGAGCCAGTAGTTAGCTCTGACAAACAGAAATAATTTAATAACACCAATTCTCTAGTTAGTCCGACAAATAAGATGTTTTCATAAGGGAGTCCCTGTTTCACTGTGAATCAGCTAAAACCAGTAAAATATGGTCTGCTGTCTGTAAATCGTTTATATGAGACAAATTTATTACAAAAATACACATTACAATTAAATAATTGTATTTTAATACTTATAACTAATATAAGTTGGATGTGGCTACTTTTTGGCAACATACTGTTGACAGTTGGCTTCTCCCCTCGTAGGCCTCTATCCTGCTACATGCGAGGACAATACTGAAGAAGCACTGAATGTGACCACAAGTGACCAAATGTCCAGGCTCTGAACCAAGGCAGCAGCAGGATATCCCAGCCTCATGTTGAATAGTCACTTAAGCAGTAGGGTTTCTCCATGCTAATTTTCCCATACATTCCTACACAGAAAATTACTTTGGCAAACTACCATGCTGTGGTTACCCCTTTATAACTTTACGCATGGCGACCAGGGAAGAAAAGCAGACTCAATTCATCCAGTGCTCTGACCATATTGAAACATTTAAGGGTTCAGTATTAAACAGTATTTGAAAGTATATAAAAGAATGTACCAAGGTCTGACTTTTTGCCATGGGATTTGACTCTGAAACAAGCTCTAATTTAAATAAGATAATAACTTTAAATGACATCATATGTTTTACCCTAACCTAATTAATCTATTTGGGACAATGGGTGAAGTCATACATGAGGATCCCTGCTGTCAGGTGGTGGGCATGAGACCACCTACTTATGATTTTTTCATGTGCTTTAATTCAGAAGAAAAGCAGTCATGAATAGATGAATAAGCCAAAGTGGATAAATATTTCAGAACGTGGCGAGTAAACAATTTATCCTTATTCTGCTTCCGCTTATTCTTACATCCCCAGAGTGATACTTACAAAAGTATGACAAAACTAACAGAAAATGAGAGAATAAGAGAGTATGAGTTTGTCTACAACATTTTGAGTTACAGCAATGTGTAAACCTTCATCTAAAAAAAACAAAGGAAAATGAATGATAGTAAAGAGGTTTGTTACAGTCCCAAGAACGTATATGTACCTTAAGATACCTTACCCTTTCCTTTTGTGTGTGCATGACCATGAAGCAATCTCCACTAACACATTTAAACCAAAGAAAAAGAAACTGCACAAGATTGGTTAAGTCAAACAACTAGATCAGATTAAATTTGACTTTATTGATTTCGACGGTTTGACATATACAACAGTACATAAAGACAGCATTAGCAGCCATAAAAAGTCAGACTGTGGTGGTGTTTTATGATCCAGTTCATCCTCCTTAGGTGCCTCTCTGAGCCAGCCAGCGCCAGGGGACTGATTTACTTGTCACACAAGGGGGACATATTTAGACTTGGTGCGCTGGAGATAGTAGGCAGTAAAGCTGGCAGGGCAGAAGATGACCCAGACAGTGGGAGTGTGGAGGACTAGAGGGGAACACGTAAGACACACCGGTTAACCTCCTGCCATTAAACCAGCGTTGATTTCTGACCAAGGGCCAGGGGACAATGGACTGCACTACACTAATTACAGACCATGACACGGATAATAGGAAATGTACTTGCTCTTTATGAGCATGAACAGACATCTGTATATCTATCTTTAAGAATTTGTACATGTAGCAGAAATAAAAGGTCTTAAATGCAGCTTTTCAGCAGCGTGGTCTATGCAGTTAACAGCATAAAGGTCCTATTAAAGCTGCCTCCTAATGACTGAAGGGAAGGAAACACAGGTAGGTATGAAAGTACATGAGTCAATAAGATGGACTTGGCTCTTCTCTTCTGTAACTAACTGAGCTTTAATGCATTTCTTATGTATGTAAATATGTCTGTGTTTATATTAACCTGCCCAGGTGTCAAATTTTAACTCCCTCAGCATGATCAGTGTAGTCAAAACTAAATGTGGGGATGTTTTGTGTATGTGTGCTATATAGGACAATTTATAGGGGACCACCAACCACAGACCACCATGATATCCCAGACTGAGAAGCAAAATGACAGGACAAGAGGACTTTCCACCATGAGTGCATACACGCATGGAAAAATATATAATTTGTTTTCACATAATGGTTTTCATTCATTTTTTCCTAGTTTTTTGAGCTCACAGCTTTCTCCAGTTGTAACCCGCAGAAATTAGAGCTCTGATTTCAGCGACAATGTAAATATTTGCCAAACAGTGGAATAGAAATTTGTGGGGCTTTTTTTTTTATATCATATCATATAATATGGCTATTTTGAAGCTGGTTAAAAGTAAATAAACCAGATTTGCAAAATAAAGTAAGAACAGAATTTGTATGAGACATTTACTTTTAAGGTGGTGTTTAGAAGTCTCTTAAATGACAGACTAGAATTTGTGAGGGTGTTTTTCATTTATTAGGTTATATCATAATAATGGCCATTTTGAAGCCAGATAAACTTGAATGGAAGACTAGAATATAATTTTGTCAAGTCATTTAATATATAAGAAAATATCCAGATAGGCAATATTAAACTTAAATGGCAGAATAGAACAGAATAGTATAGGCCTATCATTTTAATTTGCGGATGTTATATATAAATCAGATAATTTCATAAACATAAGTAATAATACAAGAGCATGGCAGGAGTTATTTTAATATATAAACACAAGGATGAATACTATAGATTTCATGATTTTTTCAAAATAATTTTATGAAGTAAATGCAGTATTATTTTAGGCTATAACTCTAATTCTCAGCTGTACGCTACCTAAACGGGCTTCTTCGAGGGTAAACTGGAGGCTTCAGTGTGTACAAAAACACTTTAAGTAAACAGATAAGGTGTAATGAATAGAAGACACGAGCTCTTATATTAGACAGAAGGTGTTACAGCGCTGTTTCAGGGGCTGCTGTCCTGGACGCTGTCTGTCCCGCCACTGACAGTAAAGCGGGTAACCAGATATTCAAAAACAATACGTCATCCCACAATGCACCGCGCTTACGCTCTCCTCTCAGCATTACCTCATCCCACAATCCACCGCGAGATTAAGAATCTTCTGGGTGGTCGTCAAGGCAACGCGCCTTATCTGAGGGCTGGGCCCGGCAGCACGACACGCCCTCCAGCCAATGGGAGAGCCCCGTCATGACATCATGGCTATTTTTAGAGAGGCAGCGGCAGCAGATAAGGTTTGCCTCCACGCTGTACCGCTCAGAGTATACACACAGCCAGGCAGAGGGAGCACCGCAGACACACGCTGCTGCTGTCTGACGAGAAAAGTTAAGAGCGCCTTTCATTCGCGGGCTCAATACAAGTGTGGATACTTTGCTCAAAGCCTTGTGAACTGTTACAACTCAGCACTGAGCAATCGACCGTCGCTGGCTGAAAAGAAGTAAGTCCTGATTCCTGTGTCAACAAAGTGCGCACTCAAAGTTTGGAAGTTTTTACGCACAGAGAGAGGACGTTTGGAAACCAGTGTTTTTTTTTCTTTTCTTTTCTTCTCGACTGATAAAGCAGGAAGAAGCGAACAGGGGGGACGAAGAGTTGTTTTGTAGCCTAGAAGACTTTATAGTGCATTGTTTTCGGGTTCTCTTCTATGTATACCAAGATGGAAACTACTTTCTATGACGACTCACTCAACGCTTTCTCCCAGCACGACAACGCCGGCTACGGGTACAGCAACCCCAAAGCGCTGAAACACAACATGACACTGAACCTCTCCGACCCGACGGGCACTCTGAAACCTCACCTCCGGCCCAAAGCCGGAGACATCCTCACCTCTCCTGATGTGGGCTTGCTGAAGCTGGCCTCCCCGGAGCTGGAGCGGCTCATCATCCAGTCCAGCAACGGACTCATCACCACCACCCCGACCCCGACCCAGTTCCTGTGCCCCAAGAATGTCACCGACGAGCAGGAGGGCTTCGCAGAGGGGTTTGTCCGAGCCCTGGCCGAGCTGCACCACCAACACATGCCGGGCACAGCCAATGTGAGTGTCACCTCAGCTGCCCAGACCAGTGTCAACACTGCCCTGCCTCCGGTCTCATCTGTTGCCGGTGCCACCGTTTACAACAACAACGCCGCCATGCGCTCCGACTCGCCGGTGTATGAGGACTTGAACACTTTCAACCCGGCCATCAGCACCGTCTCTGCGCCCAACTACACCACCTCAGCCCCGACTATGTCCTTCCCTGCTGCCCCGCCTCAGCTTCCCATCTACGGGCAGCCATCCTCCGCTCAGATCCCCCGGCTCGCGGCGCTCAAAGAGGAGCCCCAAACGGTGCCCGAGATGCCGGGGGAGACCCCTCCTCTCTCCCCAATCGACATGGAGAGCCAGGAGCGCATCAAGGCTGAGAGAAAGCGGATGAGGAACCGCATCGCTGCCTCCAAATGCCGGAAGAGGAAGCTGGAGCGCATCTCAAGGCTGGAGGACAAAGTGAAGAACCTCAAGTCCCAGAACTCGGAGCTCGCGTCCACCGCCAACATGCTGCGAGAGCAGGTGGCCCAGCTGAAGCAGAAGGTGATGAACCACGTCAACAGCGGGTGCCAGCTCATGTTAACGCAGCAGCTCCAGACCTTCTGAGGTGGTGTCAGCGGCGGCGGAGAGAGAGAAAAAGACTGTAGTTGAACGAAACGGACGCATCCTGTGATAGTGAGTGGCTGTATCTCCCGAAATCGTGACGGGATTTGGGATGATGTGGCGCGACACTGCCAGGACCGGGGACCGCGCTAAAAGTTGCTGAGTGCCATGCGCTCCCCCATTGGCGCGTCCCAGAGAGGGGCTCGGGACAGTGACAGTAGCCATGAACCAGAAGGGGATATGGCAACAAGCAGGATACCCTTCTGTCTCTGTTTCGTGCTGTTTTTTTTTACAGAACTGGACAGGACTGAAGTTTTCTTGATTTACTCCCAGCTCTGCATGGACCTTATCATGACCATCAAAGGGGAAATTCAGTATTAGAGGATTTAAGAACCTGCAATAGAGACTTTTCTTGCTGTAGCCATAATGGCCTCAAACTTGGTTGTGTTGGCCAACTCTAAACGGCTGAAAAGTTGTAACTAAAGCTGCCTGACTTCTGAGTTACAGTACAATGTACTTTTTTCTTAATTGTAAGAAATTAAGTTAGAAAAGCTTCAAGATTTACTTGTTTTTTTCTAAAGTTGTTTAATGGGGTTTCACTCATTGTTATATGTATATAAGATCAACTTGGAGTACTTATGTTTACCATTTGTAATAAGAATACTGTATAATTTTTTTATGTTTTGTCTTCTGAGCACTTCAGAAACTAATCGATATTTAAGAAAATAAACCAGATAAAATGTAGCAACATTGCCTCTGTGTTCTTGTAAGTGTGTGACAGAAAGAAAAGTGGGTGTGCCATGTCTGGAGCTCAAACAATAAAACATGTTGCAACATGTTGCAAGAGCTGCTAGATCCCAATACCTCAAGGTAAATTCCATTAGTGCTGGTATCGATCCAGGCTAAGTGATTGTGTCTCAGCTGACAGACCAGGATCACTTACTACTGATGTAGGCCAGTTCTGCAAATTGGGCTTGTAGAGCTTAAGATCTCCACTTTATGTCTCAGCACACAGACCTGCCTGAAGAGTATGAATATTATACAAAACCTCACATTGTTTTCAGGTGATGTGACACTACAAGTGAGTCACTGTAACTATAGCACTGTTACAATTACAACATGTTGAAGTAAGCAATCAATCTGAACTGAAGAAATCAAAGGTGATTTGACACATAATAGCTAACAGGAAAATAACAGGCCATCCTCCATGCTGTTTCATCATTCAGTTATTCAACATTACTTCCTGTCCTGTTGTGAATAAAAATGCCAGAATGTCAAAACAAGTTCAAATTAAGTCATGAGTCCTATATTATGGATAGATGTAGGCTACATCATAACACGTCACTGAATGTTAACTCATTAAAAGTAGCCCACTGTGGTTTGTGAGAGAGTATTCTGGATACATTATTATATAGGCTACTTATCATATTGTCCCACCTTTAATAAGTATGCCAAAAAAAGTAGCTTATAGGAACAAACAATTAACAAATAAATAAACAAACACCAACACCAGACATATATAATATATTCAGTCACATAAATAATTAATACAATTATGAAACACAACCTGTGTACAACAGCACTTATCACCAGTGAACCCAACAAACGTGATAAGCTTCATTCCTGCATAGACACTAATGACAGCAAGTGAATGTGGCGGGACAGGTCAGATATGGAATACTGGTTATATAGTATTGAACACTCTTCAGCCACCTGTACTGCCTACAGGGAAACACTAGAGGGCGACACAGACTAATTTACCTGGAAGATGAAATGAAACGTTGCTGCCTTCATGCCTCCACTGTAGGTTGGCTCATCGGTTGTAGACCTGTCACTAGCGATTGATGTAGTGCCAAAGAAACAGAACAGGTTATTAATTATGAGTGTTTGAAGTATATTTGTAGTCTGACTATGATACACAAGAAAGTCTAAAAGTGAAACAGACGTGCCTTTTAATCCTATTCTAAGTAGAACATTTTCTTTCTTTTCCCTTCTCTTTGTTCGTTTTCTTTGTTTCATTTTTTGTGTTTGTCTTTATCTTTTTTTATAAACCAATATGGAAGATTTTTCCAACATAGTTTGACACATAAATATATCTTTTTTTCTAAATATAAATTCATAAACAATGAAATTAAATTAATTCGATATCCATTATTTAATTTTTGATTTTTGATGATAAACCAATTAATGAAATTGATGATGTGGGTTTAGCTTTGTCCTTATTCTTTAGTTATGTTTAATTATGATCTGCTTTAACCTGTTCTGATTTCTCAAACTAGGGGCAGCATGACATCATTCCGGAAAGCGGAGTCCTTCACTACCATATTAGGAGAGGGAACGCTCGGAAGATCTACGTCACGACTGAGGAGGCGTGTATTACGGGAAGTGAATCGACTCTATAATCTCTGCATTAATAAGGAGACTTTACCAAGGGCAAATCAATGAAAGGATTACAGCGGCAACAAAACAAATCCTATTGGATGTAAAAAATTAAATAAAACAGAACAGATTCGAATTGAATTGGTATATATATACACTGAAAAACAGCAATGAACTCCTAATGTCTAAATCTATCTAATCTGACATTAAAATAAATTTAATATAAATCAGTTGTCAAGACTACATCACTGTAATTGTAGGTTTTTGAGGTAGCAACCTGTACTTTACTTGAATAATTCCTTTCTATGCTACTTATTCTACTTCATTCTACTATGTTACATACATAATAGCCTATATTACCATCTTGTAAAATATAATGCAGTGTTACAGATTAAACTACCCAAAGTTAGGACCAGGACTATCTTTACCTCAACTAACTACAAATAGATATTAGTAATAGCAATTAAATAATATAATTCAATATTACAATTTTATCAATCAAATTGATAAAATACAATTGCTTTAGGTTAAGGTTATCTTGAAACAACTACATTTCAAGTGTTCACCTCTCCTGATAATACTGTTGTAAAAAACACTGTTTACAAAATAAGATTCAAATTAATAAATAAATAAAACTAAAATGACGTAAAACAAGACAAGCTCAGAAGAAACATTGTCATTATTTTAATGACAAAGTTTAATAACAAAAAAGTACTTCTGTCATAACTCCCATGCTGCATTCAAAGAAAACTAAAAATGTTAGTTGGTCACATAATCTGACAAAGGGCAGGTTGCCCTGAACAGATCTGAATGGTTTCTGTCTGCATTTTGTTGCCAGGGCGAGGTGTTTCACAATGAGGTAGAAACCACACACACAAACAGAACCACAAGTTACAACAATGACTTGCTAGGTGTGAAGGCTAAACAAAACCTTTAGTTTCTCGGAATATTTAAAATGATTAAAATACTCAAGGGTTTTGATGCTCAGGCAGCATCAAACTATATCAACCCTTATGCTGTGGATGTAATCCGGGAAAAGAGAAGGGATCTAGTTTATGGGATCTCCCATACCGAGGAGCTCCTGGATCTTCTTGTCACAGAGGGGGTCGTTACAGCAGCAAAGAGATCCATCGTCTTAACCATGAGGACTCGCAAAGATCAAAACTCCAGGGTGCTGGACATCCTAGAGGCCAGAGGTGAAAGGGCATGCCGGAAGTTCTTCCATCCATGTCTTATGCTGGCAGAACCTGACCTCTATCAACAAATCAAGACCTATTTGGGTGGTGTGAACAAACGTATTCGAGACTCCAGGAGACAGCTGATTGGATATTTGCTGGAGAGGGACCAGGAGGGGATGGACAAAATAATTGACAGAGTGGTCACTCAGGGGACACATACTTTATTTGCCACCAACAAAACTAAGAAATCTATCCCTGAAAAGGAAGACAGAAGCATTGTGCCAAAATCAGAGAAGCATAAACCAACGCAAAGTAAAGCAGATAATCTCATCCACATGATTGCCACAGGTGGGGAGGTAATACTGCTGGAGGAGCTGTTAGAGGACACTGATATCAACTCAGTCAACTCCTCCAGTGAGACTCTGTTACATGTAGCTGCTGAGTACGGTCACCTGTCCATCATTGAGCTCTTGGTCCGTAAAGGAGCCAGACTGGACCTACAGGATAATAAAGGTCATACAGCTCTACATAGAGCCGCCAGCAGAGGTCACACAGAGATAGTCAAGGCCCTCATACAAGCCGGGGCCCCCATCTACACTCTGGATCTACAAGGCAAAACCTCTGTTCACCTGTCATCAGAAAATGACCACCTGAATTCTGTGAAAGTCCTGGCGAAGGAGGAGGCCAAGCAGTCTGAGAGCCACACAAAGGACATGTTTCTTCACATGGCAGCCATGGAAGATAACTGGAGGCTAGCTGAGATGCTGCTGCAAGGCGGGGCCGCTCCTGATGCAAGAAACCACCATAAAAAAACAGCTCTGTTTTATGCAGTTTCCCGGAACAATGAGAAAACAGTGACTGTCCTTCTAAACGCAGGGGCTAAAGTTGACTGTGATGTTATAAATGAAGCCATTAAGCTCAATGATGAATCAATTCTCCGCCTGCTGCTTGGTGAGTCTTTATTTAACATCTTGCTCATATAAGATTTCTTTTATGAGAACATAAATGAGGCCTGAAGCTACAAACATACAAGCTCACAGCTTATTTTGTTTAAACCACAGGTAATGCCAGAGGAGCTCTGAGTGAAGAAGCACTGGGTCCTGCACTCTTCTCAGCTGTTAAACAGAACCACAGTGGAGTGGCGACCGTTCTCATAGACAGCGGTGCAAATGTGAACATGTTAGACAAACAGGGGTACACTCCTCTCCTACTGTCAGCTGAGCTGGGGCACACTGACGTCTTCAGGTAGCTGTGCAACTAGGGCTGAATGTTGCTCTTCTAAACAATCATATAGAGGGAATCTGATAGCCACAGGTTATTATTATTATCTTCTAATGTTTGAAAAATATATTATTATTATTTTATCATTTATTTAATTATTATTATATTATTAATAAATTAAAGAGAGTTAGATACATAAAGACCAATTACACAAATAAAATAAAAAGAACATTTCTACCGACTCAATACACTTTAAGACATAAACATAGGCCTTCTGTTGAAAGCACATAACCAACCCATCAAGGTCCCAAATATGAGTAACAAATATGACAAAAAAATCAAAAAATAAAAATAGACAAGACAGAAAAAAGCAACCACACATATTTGATGGCAGAATTTAAAGTCTATATGTGAATATATAAGAATAAATATGTAATTTTTTAGCCTTGCATACACGACAGGGTTATGCAAGTCAGTGTTCTTTTTAAATAACCACCAGGGGGCACTGGTTTGATATATTGTTAAATGTTACACACTGTTTGATTTGATTTTAGCAGACAGCAACAAACCATGACATGTCCTACTGGGAACCAAAGAAGTTTCATCCAATTTCTCTTTTTTGTGATTTCCTACCTTTTGTTGGTTAAAAAAACATCTTACAATTTTTGTTTTTATTTTATTTATTTTAAATTTTATTGCATACCCACCGCAGTGGACCTCAGGACCAGTTTAGTGTGAAAAAATCCAAACTTAAATATTTAAAATTTAAGAGTCACTGACGCATAATTAACCTCGAAGGGGTTTGTGAAACAAAACATGTAGTATTTTTCTTTTACCATGAATATCAACAGTGGCTAACCACTAGATCTGAATAAAAAAAATGTGCTACTCCTGGTCCACAGAGGACAAGGTTTTGCTTGCTTGTCCCTGTCTGTTTCTCTTCTGTGTCTCTTCTTCTTCCTCTTCTTCTTCAAAATCTCTCACAGGTTCAAACTCATCCCCATCTCTGTCGTCATCTGACAGTTTCAAATCTGGATCGCCCTCAGTTATCTTGTAAACATTCATGTCTGCTTCAGTTCCAATAATGTGGAGTCATTAAGTTAATAAAGATGGTCCTGGTGTTCACTACAGTTAATATTCACAAAAGGGCTATTATTTCAAAACAAAAATAATTTAATTGCTTTAAGAACAGAATATATATCCTGACATGATAATAAACAAGAAAATATATATGTGATTATCATTGCAAAAATAGTGGATTCACCTCTCCTCTTTTAATAAAATGTGCCGTCCAATTGAAGAGAAAGAAAGAGAAAGTTCCCAGCATCCCAGCCTATCAAATGACATATCACAGGAAAGCCCAGGATATCCTCTTTACAGTGCAACAGGGATCAATAGCTCAAAAGAGTATAAGGTTATTCATATGAACCAAATGTCCACTACAGAGGACACAAGTCAGTGGGCTGGGTCCCAGGAGGAACAGAACGTACAGTACAATGACACAATGACACAAATATGGTGGGTATAATGGCCATATCCTTCTTAGTGTCAGATATTCTATATGTCCATTACTGCAGATTATGATCATGTTTGTCTTTATATGTGTCCACAATTTACCTTGTCCAATATGATTTTGTTGGATAGCATAAGCTGCTTGCTCAATTTATCGTATTTACTTTGAGTCAGCCTTTTTTCTGTGTTGTCCAGTTCATCTTAAATAATGACCTCTTTGTCATTTCAGAGTGCTAGTAGTAAAACAGGCCAAACTGGATGCTACTTTATCCGACCTCTCCTCAGCGTTGCACCTGGCTGTCCACAGTGGCAGTGTGTCCATAGTGCAGACATTGCTGGAAAAGGGAATAGACCCCAACATTACTGGACCTAAAGCCCAAATCCCTCTACACCTGGCAGCTCAGTACAATAGGCCCGAATTAGTGGATCTGCTGTTAAGAGCTGGAGCACAGGTAATCGTCAAACTAGCTGGTCATTTCGTAGATGTTCATGTTTGTAGAGACTGAGGATTGTGTGTCATTTCTTTAGGTAAATGCAGTAGCCCAGGATGGGTTAACCCCACTGCATATAGCCAGTCAGCAGGGCCATGCAGACACAGTGACCCAGCTTCTTCAAGGCAAAGCAGACCCAGGGGTCAAAGACAAGCTGGGGAGGACAGCCTTGCACTGGGCAGCCTCTTCCAAGGGAGAAAGCTGTGTGGTAGACTTACTGCTGTCGGCCAAAGCCAACCCAAACACCACTGATAATGAGAAAAAAGCTGCCCTCCACCTGGCTGCCATGGAGGGGAAAGTGGATGCTGTCACTTCACTGTTGTCCAACAAGGCAAAGGGAGGGGCTAAAGACATGGATGGCTCCACGCCTCTCCATTACGCAGCTGCTGGTGGGCACACCAGCGTGGTTTCAGCACTTCTACAGTTACTCAACAACAAGGGGATAGACGAGAGGAATGCATGGAGGAAAACGTCACTTCATGCTGCAGCTGAGAAAGGCCACGATGGTGTGACGGTGCTGCTGCTGGAGGCCGGGGCAAAGATCAACAGCACAGATCACAATAAAGACACTCCTCTGCACTGTGCTGTGCGAGGCGGACACCAGGAGGTAGTGAGGAGGCTTGTAAACTGGGGCCAGGCTGGGCACATGGGACGGCGGAAAAAAGTGAATCTGCAAGCTACCAATAATGTGGGGAAAACACCACTGCAGGTGGCACAGAGTGGAGATACACCAGAACATGAGGACATTGTAACTTTACTCATGAGAAAGATGTTTCTTATCAAATAAAGGGAGAAAAGTCAAGAGAGTAAATAACAGGAACTAATATCACATCTCAAACCTTGCAACATATGTGAAAGGTAAAATAAATAAAGGTAAATAACAGAAACAATTGCATGAAATACATTATTCTTGTTTGGACATTAGCATAGAGAGCAATATTTGGTGTTGAGGTCTTTTATCTTTCGGGTAATGAAGCAAGTATGTAGTAATGTCCAAAACTATCCTAGTGTTCGTGAACAGTGAAGCAGATAAAAGTTCGGAAACAGATCTCAATGAAAGGGTTGAATGGAGAAAGAAGATTTATTTTTTTTGGGTCAGTATCACACTGTCCTCTTCATACAAAGTAGCCATGAATCTTATAGCAAAAGAAAAACTCTGTATACACATGATGGACCACTTCAAAAACTAGGGCATAAATTAAGAGAATACCCACTTCTCCAGGCACCACTACACTGCTGCATGATGGCCACTTTCAGTCTAAAAGATTATATTTAGTATATTCATTTTAAGTTTAGTCTATTAGTCAGTTGGTTGGTCCACACTGAAATCTCTCAATAACCGTTGGATGGGTTACCGTGAAGTTATGCACAGACAGTCATGATCTCCAGTTTATGAATTCTTATGATTTTGGTGATACAACAGGGTCAACAATGTCACTTCGTGTTGAGTACATTTAATTTTGTTTATTTACACTTTGCATATATTCACATGTACAATGTTGTGATGTTCGGTGCTGTGTTTTCTGGCTTTGCTGTAGTTGCCATGTGTCATTGCCCAGTGGTTAAAAAATATGCTTATAAAGAGATCTTATTCTTTATTTCACATACCCGTTATCAGCAAAAAATAATGCAATGTGCTGATCAGGCAGATCTGCTGGAGATGTGTATCTGCCGTTCCTATGATGTGTTTCTTCCTCTCTGATTGTTGATAAAAAGACCGAACAGAAATCAACTGACACCAAAACCAAAACCACTGGCTACCCTGAGAAGACCACGTGGGACTTTTTTTGGCATCTAGTTTTGTGTTTCTTCACGCAGGCAACATTTGCAGTTCCTCTGAATTATTTTGCATCCCCCTCATTACTTTCCATGTCTGTTATGTTCTGAATCAATGTCTGGCATCAGAAAATGCTTCATATTATATAAAACATGTTTTAAAGGAATGCAAAAAACATTACGCAGAAAGAAATACCATATAAGTACCTCAGAAAGATCAAAAACCAAAACGCCATGATTTTCCTAGACATTGCTGTCAGATTCCATTGTATTGACATGAGAGGGTGTCATGGAAATACCTTTTCAGTGGTCAGTTATCAATAAATTAAATGATTAGTTTTGGATTTTAATGATGAAACTACATAAAAATAAAATTAATCAATTTAGTTAGTGACAGTGAGCAATTTGATCATCATTTCTTAAACATATTTTACAAATTTAAACTCAAATTTGATTAATCACTTGATTAACATTGGTTTTAGGTATGAGTGGTAACGGCTATTTAATAATGTTAGAAAACACACACACACACACACACACATTGTGAGATCCCTCACTGACACTGACTCTTAAACCCACCCTGTATATATGCATTGCATTAATGCACTCCTGTTTTCTGTACAGTTTCTTATCTTTATTTATTCACATTTTAGAGGTACTATTTTTTGTGTGTGATTGTTGTGTGATTTGTATATTTTTGTGTGATTGTATATTTTATGCTCCACTGCACCAAGACGAATTCCTCGTATGTGTAAAAACCTACCTGGCAATAAATCTGATTCTGATTCTGATTCTGGTAAAGATTTCAGACTTCAGCTAGTTTGTTTCAAGTCACATAAATAAATAAAACCTCACTCCCACTCTTATTTGACTGCATTTTTAATTTGATGTTCTTGAACTGATTGGATCCTTGATTTTTCCATGCTCCATGAAACTGCACAACATAAGCAATCAAGTCAAATAATAATGATATGGTATTATCATTATTAATATCATGATTATTATTAATAATAATACGGTTGTTATTAATGACAATAATAATAACTTAATTTGTATATAAAAGCAACAACTGTTTTTTCGCATCCACAACTGCATGTTTATTCCCCAAAACACCTCCGCCACAAAATAATCTATTAAACGTCTGTTTCAGGTAAAGCAACGTATCAGTTATTCTTTGGAAATAACCACATGGCACAAATTGTTGGTATGTAGGCGTTTCTTTCGACCCGGACACATCAGAAGTGATGCACTTTGCAGTTTGTAGCTGCATCGATGCAAACACACAAAGTGAGAGTGGGAAGGGGCAAGGTGCAGGGGCCGGATCGGACGTGGTCCAAGTCACTTAGCTCTGTCATTCACTCATATGGCTTTTCCTACCACAGCTATGTAGATGACATTCAACTAATTCTGTGTTTCAATCAATTCCAGCATTTTAAAATTCTGACAGTTACGCTTTGCAGAACAATGACGATTCAATTTGCAACAGGAACAAATCATGGCGAAGAGGAAGAAATGGCCCAAAGCTCCCTGGTCCATAAAAAAAACATAAATGAATAAATAAATAACTCTTATTGACTTATTATCTTCTACATGTAGCACTTCAGTACTTAGCACAGTTCAGCATATTTGAGGGAGTTGATGTAGGCTACTTGCAAGATTCTTGCAATTTTGGGGGTGTCTACTTATTGTAAATCCCTTTGGACAAAAGCATCAGATTAACACATGTAATGCAATTAACTCACTGGAATTGCTTTTATGTAAGGTAACATGAGGTCAGATTACCGTGGCTCTAAAAACTGAGTCTGGCCCACAATGACTGAATGAATAGCTGATAGCTAAAACGCTTCATTATGTAATGTGAGTGCAGTAATGATAAAAGGCTACATGAGAGGCAAACCTTTAAAACTATATGTCATTTTATTAGGGACCTCGCAAGCGACCGCTGGAGGTCCCTATTGTTTTTGCTATGTTTCTTCTTACTTATTATTATTTTTAGCACTTTTGATTGCGTTTTTGCCCCCCTGAACATATACGAAAAGTCAATTTTATTTGGCAAAGTGGTCAGGCCTGGTGAAAAATTTTATATTCTATGCGTCGCTTTCGGGTTGGCCAGTAGGTGGCGCTACTATCATAAAAAATGCGTTTAGGCTAATAACTTCTGCATAGTTTGTCGCACATTCAAAAAACTGGTATCCACGCGTTCGGTGAATGGAGCTGAATCCCTCCATATAGGCCCCGCCCACTTCCGCCTAGAATTTTTTTTTGTTAGAGCACGAAATGTCCTTAAACTACTTTTTCGTGTTCCTCCGACACGCTTTGTCCGATTAACACAAATTTTTTCACCTAGCACCTGGGGACCGCCCTGGCAAAAAAAGTAATTTTAACATTTTTGAAATTTCAAACAATAAGCACGCTATAACATTAGCACTTCCTGTGGATTTTTCGTCAAAAAAGGAAGAGGACCATTTCTTAACATTGGTATGTTCGATTGACACCAAACTTGGGTGCATAGTTCCACATGTCCTCCTTAGGCACCGTGCACAATTTCAGACCATTACCACTAGGTAGCGCTCTTTAAAATGAAGAAGTTTATATCTCTGCAACGGCACGTGTGATTAAAATGAAACTTGGTAGGATGCTTGCCCATGGCTCCCTGAGGCTCACCAAAAAAGGAAAAAAAATCAGGCCACTGGGTGGCGCTCTGGTGGCAGGATAAATCACTGTGCGGAGACCGTAATAGTTATGAATATGAAATTCACAGGGCACGTGTAGAGTAGTGCTGGAAGCTCACATACCAAAAATCGTGTTTGTCGTGTGTGTAGCGCCCCCTACAGGATAAAAAAACAGCAGCCCCAGTGCCACATTTCACCGATATGTATGAAACTCGGTAGCCACGTGTAACATGCCAGGACGTACAAAAAAGCCTCTTGGACTCATACCCGAAACCCCACAGGAAGTCGGCCATTTTGATTTAAAGTTTCACTTTCGGTGAACTTTTCGCGTTTTATTTGAACGAACTCCTCCTAGGGAATTTATCGGATCTACTTCAAATTTAATCAGCACAATCTAAAGTCATTCATGATTAAAAGTTGTGCTAATTACGACATTCCGTCAAACGGCGTGTCCGTGGCTTGGCATCAAAGTCAGCCATTTTTCATTCCGTGCTCATTTTCTGTGATTTTTTGCCTTGTATTTGAACGAACTCCTCCTAGGGAATTTATCGGATCAACTTCCAATTTAATCAGCGCAATCTAAAGACATTCATGATTAAAAGTTGTGCTATTTGCGACATTCCGTCAAACGGCGTACCCGTGGCGTTGCGTTGAATTTCGACCATTCACCATAAACAGATAGTACTCAACTTCAGTGTACAGTCCCACCCTGAACACGTCCTCATAACTTCAGCGTACATGATCCAATCTCAATGAAACTTCACGTGTTTGACAACAGTCCCACCCTGAACTTGTCTACATGACAATATTCAGACATAGTGATAGCGCCACCTTCTGGCAACAGGTGGTAAGCGCTGCATGGCGATTTTGTGCTGCGTTACGTGAAATGACCGTGCCAGTGACGACTTGTCAAATTCAGCGGATTCGCCATGAAATGCCACTCATAACTTCAGTGTGCAATGTCCAATCTCCAGTGAACTTCATATATTCTGTAACAGTCTCGCCCTGAACACGTCCTCATCACTTCAGCGTACGTGGTCCAATCTCAATGAAACTTCACGTGTGTTACAACAGTCCCGCCCTGAACTTGTCTACATGACAATATTAAGACATAGTGATAGCGCCACCTTCCGGCAACAGGTGGTAAGCGCTGTGTGGCGATTTTGAGCTGATTTACGTGACATTTTCATGTTGTGGTCCCCAAGTGTTACGACGGCACGCGATGCGGCCGCAGCATGCCCCGAGTTGGGTGGGGTGCGAGGTCCCGCTCAACGCTGCTTGCAGCTTTAATTTCATTGTTTATAACTGCTTTGAGTTATTTCTACATAGAAAGCAGAAAAAAGAAAAAAACTTTCCCACGTGTTTAAGTGGACTGTAGATGACGTCCGGATCTCGCGGTAGCTTAACTTCACGTGGCGGCTACTACTATGTGTCACGTGACATTGTTTTGCCTGCGCGGGGCTTGTTCCTGTCTCTCTTTCTGTGGAGTAAAGGTGAAATGGCTAGAAACGAGGAGAAGCAGCAGGGGAGACTGAACAGACTGTGGCTTCAGAAGGAGAGAGAGGGTACGCAGCTCGTAGCCACAACATACACTGTCGTTGAATTAATGTTTGTCCGATAAAAACACTCTGCTGCCTGCACACACAGCTAACTAGCTGTTAGCCGCAGCGATGCTAACTCATAGTTGTTATAGTAACACTGGTTGAAATGAGAAAATCTCTAGAAACTAAGCTCTTCAATGCACCTTGAACTAATGTTTTCTTTCAATGTTTCATGTACAGAGGGACGGCTCAAAGACATACATGAGCGGAGACCCAAGCTGGTAATAAACAACGTTATAATTGTTGTCATTAAAGCTGGTAATAAACAACGTTATAATTGTTGTCATTAAAGCTGGTAATAAACAACGTTATAATTGTTGTCATTAAAGCTGGTAATAAACAACGTTATAATTGTTGTCATTATGTCACTTAACGTTCAGTGCCACTCGGACCAGCTTGTTACAGCCAACATTTGTCTTCACAGTCTACTCTTAATTCAACTTCCTCTGTGAAAAAGTGGATCCCCAGCATCAAGAATGAAATTGAGTATTACTTGCAGGTAAGTGACTTAATGTGTAAAATGGATATTCTAGATCAGTGGTTCCCAACCAATGGGTCGGGACCCCCAGTAGGGGTCGCCAGAGCTTCACAGGGGGTCGCGAGGCCTTCTTGATTTTAAGTTAACTTACAACTTAGAAACAGTAGGTCTATATCTCAGCAATCTGTTCATTTATGTGAAGAAAATTAAATTAAATTGCTATTTTTAAAGTTTTAGATTATTATTTAAGATCTTTAAGAGCTAATAAAACAATGAATGTATGTAGACAGAAAAAGTTTCTAAAAATATCAGGAAAACAGGAAATAATCTGCTCATTCAGATTCATTCATCCGAATTGCTCATTATACACAAACTTTCTGCAGTTTTTGTGTTCATTGTTTAGTTTATCAGTTGTTCCTTACTGTTATTGTTATGCATTGAATATGAAATATACATAAAATATGTCACTTAGTCAGTTTTAACTTAATTATAGTAAAGGGGTCCTTTAAGAAAAAAGGTTGGGAACCGCTGTTCTAGATGGTTTCCAGTGATAATAAACCCCCTGCTTAATGTTTAATGATATCTGTTTTTGTCTTTTCCCTCTTAGCAGTCGCAGCTGTCTCATTACCCAGAGAGGAAGATCGCAGAGTTCCAGCTACACATTGAGGCTTTAGAGAGAGAGTACAAAAGCTTCATCGCCAAACTACGAGTCCTCGACCCCTCCTGTAAACATAACCCATGGACTCCTCGGGCATACTGCAAGAGGAGAGCAGACACACAAGAGTCTCCAAGTATCGGTCAGTGTGTTTGATTAATGTTGTACCTAATGTCATACAGACAGTAAAAACATGTGTTAGCCAACATCGTCCTGTTTGGACTCTCTTTTAAAGAATCATAATCAAGAATCTTTTTAATCAACATAAATATTAGTCAGTATACAGGTGATGGTTGTGTGCCAGGATCACACATTGCAAGTTACCAGAATTACAAGTGGCTTCATGTTTAGCGTAGTTAAATATTCCAATGAAGAGGTAGAAACAAATGGGAACGGGTAATGGGAATGTTGGGAATATTGGATGACAGCAAGATGTGACATTGGCACACACAGAGGGGATATTAGATAACATCTTCAAGCCAGTAAATTAAATTCTTCTCAAAATATCAATTTCAGATTCACTATGTATTTGGATATTTCATTTTTATTGGGCCCTGGTTTTGGGAAATTCTCTTCATTCCGCCAGCAGCTCTGTTCCACCTGATCCTAGAAACTGACCAAAAAACAATTTTTTTTTCTTTTTGGAAATGCAACAATTTGTATTTACAGTAATTTATTTAGAGTTTCCAAGACACGCATGAAGGCAGTAGACTCGTCTGTCAGATAACTGAAGCAGGAGAGCCTTGGGAGTGCATAAAATTGATTAACTATTGGATCCAATGTTTATTGAGAGCACTGTTCGGAGTAGTTTTATGGTTTTATTAATAATCCAGAACTTCAGAGCACTGCCTGTACACAAAATATTTTATATAATATTTTTTTTCCAAATAATTTTGGGAACGTCCAGAAGAAAATACTTATAAGAAAACATTATACAACTGTATAACCTTAATTAATTACTTCTAATGTCCTATTATATGTTTCTGTTTCATTTTGGATGAACTGTTCCTTAAAGACACCAGTCGCCGACATTTCATCTCTTTGTGTATCTTCACTCTCACTTACAGCGAAAAACCCTCGGCCCTATGAGTCGCCTGATAGTAGCAGTCAGTGCAGAGATGGTGAAAGTGAGTGGGCCTGCAGTTGGACAGGATGTCGCAAAACCTCAGAGAGACCTCTCAGCATTTCACAGACCAGGTTTCAAAGCCCCTTCCCCCACATCTCAGGAACCTCAGAGAGAGTCTGTACAGACCAGGACCAGCCCCTCTCCTTCGATCATACAAGGCTGGCGGTGGCCGCTGCTGCGTTCAGGGGGCCGTCCACTCAGACAGGGTCCTCTCAAACACAGAGCCTAGCCAGGGTGCTGCAGTCTGGCCTGCCAAACCTCGTTAACGCTTCATTAAGGAAAACATTTTCAACCCAGAGCACAGACACAGAGAAGGATGACAAGGCAGCAATGGGATGTGTCGTTGGACAGAAAAGCCCCGCCCAAGACCGCAAGTCAGACTGTAAAGCAGCAGAGAGGATACCTGGGAAATCATTCAACACTGGGACAACAGAGGGGAGGACGGGTCATGTCCTGGGACTAGACTGTTATTCTTCTTCTGATGAGGAGTGTGACACATGATGTATTTTGATATAACTATATAAATATAACGCATAACAATGAAATGCTTTATGGATCCTCTCATTGCTTGGTGTTCATTCAGAAGCTTCCTGTGGTGGACGGTCATATGGACAGAAAATTGTTAGCGCAGCATATTAGTATAATGAGGCCTACAATTTCTGTAATATTTAAGATGTGACAGATTTTTGTAAAAAATGCAACTTATTCTTCCCGACACAAGGACTGTGAATCATGATTTGTCATTATGTCATTGAGGGAAACTCAGGTTTGATATTGAATTGAAGCCCCACTTTGAGCTACATAAGGGAAAAGCTATGTTTGCAAGAAAGGCTTGAGTAATCAGAAATTCAATGTAATTTTCAGGCACTACTCTATTTGTGCAATCAGTCATCATGACCACAACTACCTCCATTATGCAACAGAAAGCAGGGAGACTGTGTGAGAAACAGACAGTTATTGGTAGAGATACTTGCTGAGTCAGTGATTCATTTTAGTCTCATTACATTAACTAGAGCAGCAACACTGAACATAGCCTGGTTAGACCCCAAAACCCCACCCTCCCACTTAACCTACTCTGTACTGCCACTGCTGCTGCGAGGACCGCTTTCAGCATGACACTTCTGGGAAACAGACACATCAGCTTGTAGAGTGCAGACACCATGCGCAGTTTTTGGTTAACTTTGACGCAGTTACCCTTTTAGTTAGAGCTCTGAATGCACACTGCAAGGTGTGTTTCCCTTTGCCTCTGCAGGGGCCTGGAGAACCAAAACGAAACTTATACAATAGTGGACGGAGCCGAGGCCTTTGCATTTACCAAAATACACACAAAACCCTAAATTACCATTGCAATTTACAGCAATATACAACACTGACTTAGCTTCACAAAGAAGCTGTTTGCCAAAGTCTTACTGCATGATATGGCACTACAGCAGCCCGCTCAGCTGTACAGCTGGTTATTTCTTGCAACTCCTTTCCAAGGGCATCTTTCTATGCGGTTGGAAAGCTGCCCTTTATCAAAAACTACCAAAGCCCACTTAACAGTGCCAAATAATATTAAACATATCTCTATCTTGATTAAGCTTATGATGTCTGGAAACTGTTGAACCACAATGAAGGAGGAGTGTAATTGCTCTGTATCCTAGGAAACAAACCAAATGTGTCAAAAAAAAGACCACAATGAAATTAGCTCCTCACCAAGCTGTCAGGAAAGCGGTGAGCATGTTCGGCTTTCCTGTAAGCTCATTTCTGAGGTATCGGTTAGGGTTAATTCTCACCCCTGTAAAGTATCGCTGTCTCTCGCTACCAACTTCTTCACAAGCAGCCAGCAGGAAAGCAGACACATATGTTCTTTTCATGTGGCAACAGCATCTTCCCACTAAGAATACGCTATGTGCTATTGAAACTGCTGTATCACTGTTTACTAACACGCTGTGCCTCATAAAGACTAATATGCAACAATAATACATTTGAATAATAAAGCAGTTTTGACCTGTTTGAATACTAAAGATAAATATATATACACTACTCACAAAAAGCTAGGGATATTCGGCTTTCGGATGAAATTTCAGAATGTACATAAAATGCACTATAACCTTTCCAGGTGATCTTCATTTGACCTTCTACTTAAATGCCCTACTTTCATGATATAATATCACTGTAGCATCAACTTTTTACATTTTCCATAAATTTCACCCAAAAGTGGAATATCCCTAACTTTTTGTGAGTAGTGTGTGTGTATATATATATATATATAGTTATTTTTTTTTTTTTTTTTCAGGAGGTGGTCCAGATTTGAAGAGGCACTGTGACACCCCAGAATGAAAGAAGAAATTGCGTTGTGAAACATTAAAAAGTATCTTAGTGGGCCACATGTCAGGTTGTATAGAGTCATCTCAAAAGCTGCAGGTGACTGTATTTGTTATTACTCAGTCTTTTCCTTTTGTGGAATTTGTGAAAAGGTCTCTCACTGTGGATGACATGATGGTGGTGAGTGAGGTTGGGTCAGCTGAAACCTCTTCCTTTAGACATAGCTGCAGTTTTGTAAGGTGTGTAGTCCACAGTGCAAAGACAATGTTGAACTTTAAAAAAAAGCCAAAGTGTAATAAAGTTCTGTAGTTATAAATAAATGCCATGCAGCAGTGCAGATCAGAAGAGAGTGATAGATGGATGGGTAGATAGTTTCTTGTGTGAGTTTATGATAAGTAACTTGTCTGCAGTCCACGGTATGATGTGGGAGGAACCTGTGGGTGGTTAGTCTTGACAGCTGAAGCTTGGTTTTTTAAGTCAGAGGTACAAAAAGTAGACACCTCCTTCGTGCAGAGGCAACAGATGCACAAACCATTTGTCTCACGGCAGGACCTGCACCATGAGCTGTGACCAGAGCTACCCGTTCCCACAGGTGTTCCTTGTGGATGGAGGCGGAGGTCCACAGCACTCTGCCCAGCCACCAAGTCTTGTACCATGCTGGGCCTTCCCGCCTGCCCAGGAGAGGGTGAGGAGCCGTGGGAAGAGCCGGGGCTGTATGGGAGTTAGCCCCGGGGCAGCCCTGGTCGTGCTGATGTTATTCCTGCTTGTGTTTGCGGCCCTGGGATTAGAAGCCTACCAGATCTTCAAAATGCAGAAAGAACTGAGAGAGATTAAAGAGGTAAGGTTCCACTGGGTGTGATGGGCAGAGATGAATTCAGTGAGTCTCTACTGAATTAATCAGCTAATAATGACTATGGAAGTGTGGAAAAGGAATTGAGGTTAAAAACAGATGTGACAGTAGGGTGCAGAATATTAGAAGCAGGTCAAGAAGTATTTAGTGATGACTGAAAAAATAAGTTATAATTGAGCAGTGGATGCCAATAAATAATAATGTCAAGACTAATAGTTTTACTTTGTGTGAAATGCTTGCTTCATGTACGGTTTTAATGGGGCCAACAAAAAAAAGGTGTGACTTCTTGCTCATTTGCTGGGGGGTGTTAGGGAGGTGTAAGGTGGGAGAGTGGAAAACCAAGCTGGAAAGTTAACACAGCACTGCAAAGTTTAATAATTAATTTGATACTTTGCCATCAGTCAACAAGAGTCCATATACCTCAGCTCTGCTCTGACATTTAAAAATGCAAACCAAGGACTAAATCGTTCCATCTGTGGTCACCAGTCCAGTGAGACAGGATATCCTCTCTCTCTCTGACTTGTGCTGAGAGGGCTCGCAGAAGATTGCACCGCTTCTGATGTGTGATGTGGTATTGAGATTCCTCTGTTTCTCTTTTCTTTCACTAAAGGTGAAACCTGAGACGGACTTTAGTGTGCCTCAGAAGCAAATTGGTAAGTGTAAACATGTTTCCCCACGCACAAATTATTCCAAACATAAAGAAAATGTTCCCAATAAAGGAAAAGAGGAGGTGATGTGACTCTAATCTGACGGTTGTTTCAGGTATCTATGAACCTCAGTCAAAAGAAGAAGACAAGGACGACAGACCTGCAGCGCACGTGATAGGTAACCTAACATAATAATAAAAATATAACCCATACTGTGAGATACTCTATTCTACATAACAGGGTTGGCACTAGAGAAATATTCATGGGGTGGCACAAGGGTGGCCTGGAGACTTTAAGGGGTGGCAAACAACAAATATAAATATCTTGGAAAAGCCCACAAATAAGGATATTTCAACTCAAAAACATTACATTATTGTGGCACATTAGAAAAGCGTTGAATAAAAATATCTATCATCATAAATCAATAAATTGTTTTATCTCCCAATCTTCACATATTTTCCCGTTATTTTAACTTAAGCCTGTTTTTTACTGATCAATACATTAAGTCCTGTTCTTTAACACTTAACACTTTAAAAAAAATTTAAATTCATCTTTATGAATGTGTTAACCAAATTGAGGTGGCACCCGTGGTCTCAAAATAGACTGAACGATATAATTTCTGTCCATTTGCAGGGCGTATTGAAAAAGACAGATTCTCCAAGACTTTGCGATGGGAGTCACAGGCTGGTCGGGCGTTCACCTCTGGAGGAGCGGCTTACCGGTTTGAAGATGGCGCTCTGCAAGTCAATGAGACCGGTCTCTATCACGTTTACTCACGAGTGGAGTTGATCTTTAGGGACTGTTCCCCTACATCCTCGTTTGTTCATACAGTGTTTGTGAGGAGAGAAGGGCGTCCCTCACCTCTGACCCTGATGGAGGCCCACAGAGCAGGTTTCTGCTCCAAGCAGCTGGGACACGCCTGGACCACAGAGAGTTACCTCGGCTCTGCCCTGCAGCTGCAGAAATACGACAAAGTCCTTGTGAATGTATCACACCCTATTTATCTTAGCCATGCACATTATGCCAACTTCTTTGGTCTCTACAAGGTCTGAAGAGTTGGGGGTCATTGGCTTTTTTTTTGCTTGTGTATATTAATTTTACTCCACTGAAAGAATGTAAACTGCTGTCTCAGGCAGAATCTTACTCATCACTTTACCCAAATGATTACTATAAGTTGAATGTGATTCCTGTCATATAATAACTGCACTGAATATCATAATATGAAATGGTCTGTAATGTCAAAGCCAAGAGAAATACATGCTTTATTGCCAGCTTTGGTGAAGTGAATTGAAGTGTCCACCCATATACATAAAAAAATATTGTGCCTTTTATACAAGTTGAGAGAGTCAGTTAACACTAATGCAATGATATAGTGGTAGCATCTTTAAAAATATTTATTCTAGTGTGGATCTGATGTCTAAATGTGTGCTTATGAAGTTAAAAGGTGTTAAATGGTGGTTGTTTTTAAGTAAATAAAGAGATAATTTAAGTTGATTTTCATTTTGTGAAACAAGGAAATGTTTTTGGTCATGATTAAATCTGAAAGTGTTGTATTTTTGAGTAGTCTGTCATGCCATAAACACCTACATGAGTTTTGTTCATGACCACTGGAAAGTATTGAGATAAAGACACCTACTCAAATGGGGTTCTCCTCCTGACAATGAAACTGATTTCCATATATTCCACTGAGGTGCAGCAGAAGTCTAACACAGAACCTGATTTGTTTTTTTGTGGATGTAGTTAAACTCTCAAAAGTAGCTCAAATGTCAGGAAGAAAAATACTTTTTCTCCTTGATTAAAAGTTTAATTGAGTTTACAGACCACAAGACAGTGCACTTGCAATGTTGCAGTTTAACACCCTCATTGCACTGTTTCTTTTTCTGTACACCACAAACATTCGTTAGTTGAACGCGAGAAGATGTGCAGGCTGGGCACAGATGGGGGGGGACAAAACAGAAGCTGGTTTGACGTGCGTTTCCTTCCTGTGTGAAAATCGCGAGGGTCCTGCCTGTGTGCAGGTTGATTTTTGTGAAAGAGTCTGTGCTTCTTTTTATTCACGTGATAAACTTTTCATTTAAATGTTCATTTTAGTCTCATGACCTGCGAGGGCTTTAAATTGTATCTTGATGAACTGTGTTTAATGTTGTAATCCTTTGAGACTACACAAATATCCATTTGATAAATAAGTTCACTTGCCTGAGCTTAGTCAGACCATAATATGTGAAAGCCACACTGAATAGGCTTCCTGTTGAAGTTTAATACCACAAAATTAGATCAATAAGATACCTGTACATAGCTGCAAGATATTTGCTGCGGTTTTCACCAAATGTAAGGTAAATAATTTTTGCAAAGCAATCACATAAAGCATCTGAACATGAAATGTAACATAACAACACTGTTGCAACATTTGCATAAAGTTTAATAAAGTAAGTCTCGCAGAAAATCTCTGGGCCATGGCTCATTTTCATAATACGCATAAACATCGATTTGAAACACTGATTCAATGGGTATAGGTTTAAAAAACAACACTGGCATGCCTATGCACAGTCAAATGGTTATTGTTCACCCTGTTCATACTGGCTGTGAAGCAATCCCTCCTTAATACAATGTAAGAGCTCAAGGTCCTTTTTGCGCCAATGTTCAACAAAACTAATATGACAGAATAAAGAGTCTATTTGTACTTTTTAATTTGGAAAAAACTGTAACTTTCTAAGATACCCATAGGCTCTCTACTGAGCCAGTATGGAGAGTAGAAAACAATGACAGCAACCAAATTTGCTTCAATGTACATACACTGATCAGCCATAACATTATGACCACCTGCCTAATATTGGTCCCCCTTTTGCCACCAAAGTACGTGTTGCCCTAAGGTTTCTCAGCAGAACGTTGCCCAAAGCATCAAACAGCCTCCAGCAGCTTGCCTTTGCTCCCCACGTGCATCACTGAGCCTTGGCCGGCAATGACCCTGTCTCCGGTTCACTGCTTTTCCTTCCTTGGACCACTTTTGATAATAATGAAATGATATGGCTGATCTGTGTTTGGGCATGTGAGTATTGTTTTGAGGCACCTTTGAAAGTTTAAACATATCCTTTAAAGTTAGTTCTCTTGTTGTATTCAACGGAAACACAATTCAGAGTTTTTGCCTTGGTAAAATGTCACAAAGCCTCCAGTTATATGGTAGTGGAAAAAGTATGTGGACACCCCTTTCTAGATACATCTGTGTACTCTGGGCCTGGTTTTTGTTCCTGGTTAGTTTCTTAGTTTCAGTTGAAACTACCCAACAATTGGGTTTCAAACTTAAGTATTTCTCTACAACATTAAATATTCCTGATGAAATGAATAACATCAAAGTATTGTTTAACGCTGGTTAGTCTGCTTCACCAGGCCTGCGTGGTTGAGTTTTATCACATTTGGGTGCAGGGACCCAACAACCCACCAACTGTCATCAGATTCTTCATCAAATTCTGTTTTGTGCATTGGAGTACATGACTGAGCTCCACCCACTTGAAACCAGTGAGACGAGCTCAGAAAAAAAAACAGAAATACTGAAATCTCTGATGGAAAACAGGACAAACGTATATCTACACCTTGTCAGAATATAGTCTGTTTGTGTAGGATCTTAGTGACGCATAGTAAGGAGGTGATTGAGAAAATACGCTTTCAAGGCTCTTAAGGGAATCTTAATGCGACATCATACTGTGATGTTTTAGACAAAGAACTTGACTGGTACCTTCACCTGAACACCTGTACTGAGTTCAACCCCATCCAGCACCTAGAACTGGAATGCAGACTTAGAGACGACTTTATCGCTCAGCCACTAATGCTGCAGCCAGGTTGCAACGTGTACTGGAAAGCCTGAAACTAGACGAGTGGAGCAGGCCTGGTGCCGTGGGCTCAAAATGAGCTGTTCAACAGTCACATATGGGTGTAACATATTTTTGTGAGTAAGAGTCTCTCAGATTGACAAGTGACACGTGCTGAGTACCATCTCCACCTTTTCTTTAGCACCATCTATCAAATATTTAATGAACTGCATTCAATACAACTGCAAGGCCACAGCTGTAAGACACAAAGGAAGAAAAAAAGGTTTTATCTGAAAGACCAATTATTCCAACTTCCAACTGTCCTAACCTCTGGCTGTCTTTTATTTAGTATTAAAACACTAAAAGGTTTGACTGAGATCACTGGTATTTTAAGTCAAGATGATGCAGTCCCGTCGTGTTTCAGTGCCGTCTCCTAACAGTACTATTAAAATGCATAAAAGAAGAAGAGTTCCTGTCACATCACATGTCATCTGATTAACAGTGACCAAGAAGTTGTTGTTTATTTTGTGAGAAATGTGTAAAAAGGACCCTTTGAAATCCCACCTGTCACATTTGTATGTACACACTCTAATGCAAAAATATACACCCTTTGAACTGGACTAAATCCTCCTAATGAATGTTCTGATCAGCCATTATTACAGTTTTTCTCAGTCGCTTTGGTGCATTTCTCACATCACTGTTAACATTTGCACAACAGTTAGTTCAACCTCCACAACATTTAGTCTTTTGAGCACATCAGAGCAGCAGTTTCTCATTCCTTCCAACAAATTGCAAATGCTTTTGGACATGCATCAATTGCTTTCATACAACTCTCTGCTGTTTTATAACATTATCATTTGCTTAAGTCATGTCAGTCAAAATTAACTATACTTGTGAATGCTGAATAGTCATTCCATATAAAACTAGTAGTCCTCATTTCATTGCTTGAGACAGTACATACAAAAATGTTGAACCAGTTGTCAAAATCTGTCAAGCCAATTTTTTTTTCCTGAAAATGTCTCCTAAATTGAACAATTTCTCTCAGGTGAACCTCAGCTTCCACTGATGAGAAGGGGTGTGTGAAGCATTAGTTGCAACCAATGATAAGCCACTTCTCTACAATCACTCAGAGCTGAAGCCCATAAACCCCCACTTCACAAGCATATGTGAACCAAGCAGGACATAGTGTGTACCATTTCTACAATGCTGTAACACAGAAATGGAAGGTCAGCCTCATGGAAGAGGGGTGAGGGTGCGGGGAGGAAGGGGAAGGGGACGGGGACAAAACAGGGGAAGAGGAAGAAGAGGCCAAGTACATAGGCGGATTCCTGATGAAATCAGGGCTACAATTGTGGATCATGTTGTCAATCATGGCCTCACAATGGCTGAGGCTGGTCGAAGGGTGCAGCCAAATGTTGGGAGAACCACTGTAAATTCAATTATTCAAACATTTCGTCAGGAGAACAGGTGTGTATAAATGGACAGTAATTGAGCACCAAACAATCTGCACTGCACTACTGTCATTGTGTCATACATGAAGATTGCAATGGGACAAGAACTTGTCACTTTTTTCATTTTACATTTAGACTTACAGCTTTACAGCATCACAGATTTAGTGTATTGTAGTGTACAGTAGTGTTACAGTAAAGATTTGCCATATTTACTGTAATTTTACTCTGCACCACATAGGATTGCAAGACAACCTTGCAGAGGTGGAAGAGGGCCCCTTTTTACTCCGCAACAAGAGCAAGCCATTTGTGCAATGGTGATTGCAAACAATGCCATAAGGTTGAGAGAGATACAGAGTGCTGTTATAGAGGATGACAACGTCTTTGGGAATATTGAATCTGTTTCAATCGCTACAATTGACAGAGTGCTCAGGAGAAATGAAATGCACATGAAACAATTGTACAATGTGCCATTTGAACGGAACAGCGACAGAGTGAAGGAGATCCATCACCAGTATGTACAGGTAAAACATGTATGTGTTCTATGCATACTCTAATGTTCAGTGCTGTAAACTGTTTACTTTGTGTAGTGTCATGCACTACACTTACATGACAGTTCTGTGTATGTGTATTCACAGTGCATACTGTACAATATGTTGTCCAAAATGCATTATGTTACACAGGAAAAGTTGTTGTTTTCTCGCTCCCTCTTCTGTAATAAAGCGTGTACTGGAGCTGTATTCCAGGGAACCGCTGCACCCATTCATATACCTTGATGAGGCGGGTTTCATTCTGGCAAAAGGTAGAAGACGTGGAAGGAATCGCATTGGACAGAGAGCAACCATTGATGTCCCAGGCCAACGAGGAGGGAATATTATTATGTGTGCAGCCATCTCAGAAAACGTCCTCACCCATATCCCTGGTCTTGGTCCATACAACACACAACATCTGCTGACTTTTTTAGACACTCTTTACAGGGACATAATCCCTGAGAATGAGAGGGGTCTAACTGGAGACCATCTGAATAAGCATGCTGTTGTTTGGGATAATGTGCATTTTCACCACTCAGATGTCGTCAGACAGTGGTTTGCAGCACATGATAGGATGCTGGTGGAATATTTCCCTCCCTACTCACCATTCCTAAATCCAATAGAGGATTTTTTTTCTTCCTGGAGGTGGAAGGTATATGACCGGCATCCACATACCCAAATGGCCCTGCTAGTGGCCATGGATGCAGCATGTAATGACATCACAGCAGAGTCCTGCAGAGGGTGGATTCGCCACTCGAGGAGATACTTTCCTCGCTGCATTGCAAGAGATGATATTCGCTGTGATGTAGACGAAACTATGTGGCCAGACAGAGAGAAACGTCTAGATGTGCATGAATGATTTAC